TACAAGGTACTGAGTTCTGACATACTGAAAAGAAAAAAAATGACATAAGTGACTTTATCTTTAAAATGTAGTTTTAAAGCTGTTCCTGTCTAAAAAGAAACAAGAGAAATAAAATATAAACTCTTGATAGGTTCCAGACAACAGCTACACTGAAGAAGAAAGAACATGGGCTTTGGCATGGGAAGCCCTGGGTTTGAGGCCTGGCTCTGTTTCTGTTGTATCCATAACTTTGAGTTACTAAACTTTTCTGAGTCGCAAGTTCTCATCTATAAGCTGAATGATAACACAAGTGTTTCACCACTGCTGTGAGGTTGAAAACCAAACAGACATAAAAGAACTTTATAAATTGCAAGGTAAATAAAAAATAAAATACATTCTCCAGTAAGTGTTTCACCACTGCTGTGAGGTTGAAAACCAAACAGACATAAAAGAACTTTATAAATTGCAAGGTAAATAAAAAATAAAATACATTCTCCAGGAGAGGTTTTGTGCAAAACTCAACAGAATCCTTCAGGGGGAAAAAAAGAGTTTACATCTCTGTGACCATCTCTCCCCAGACAAGGAAAAAAAAAAATCACACAAAACTCACCTTGTATTTCCCAAAGGTTCCACCAAATAGGTAAACCTGCCCATTGAAGATGATCATAAGCAAAAATCACAGGATCTAAGAAAGGTATATATAACAAGCTCCTAATTCAGCAAATGCCAATGACATTCAAAGCACTTAAGAGAATTAAAAAAAAATATCAGTTAGACCCTACTTTCACACAAAAAGCTTCCTGTTTGTAGGGCAGGTCAGACATGTACTCATATATCCACAATACAATATTGGGTATAACAAGTGACACACACCTGATACAAACTAATGAGAAACGGTCCTTGGGTTGCTTAAAAAGTGAATAGGCTTTCATTGGCTAAGATAAGTGGAAGGTCATTACAAGAAAAGGGAACTATGTTCACAAAGATTACAGACATGGAAAAGTACAGCTTTGTTCAAGGAATCGTGAAGTCTGAGTTGCCTGAAGAATAGGTTCTTTATCAAGATGTGAGGAAGAGGCTGTTATGGAGAGGGCCTCTTATAACAGACTAACTCATGTGGACTGTATTCTGTAGGCAATAGGTAGACTTTGAAGGCTTTCATTATCGAGGAGAGCACATAATAAAATAGGACTTAATAATATTTTACTTTTGTATTGATCTTCACTCTTTATAACTTGCCTTTACATACATGATCTCATTCAATTCCCACCACAATTCTATGAGAGAGGTGTCATTACCACCTGTTAGAATAAACTCTCAACCAGACCTAGAATCCAGGTCTTCTGATTCCAAACCAAATCTGTTTCAAATCTAATCTACTTCTATTGTAGGAAGATGGACACACTAAAGGTGTGTACAAAATACACAAAAGTGAGAAGATCCTGAAGGCAGTGGGGCAGCTCCTAAAGAACACAAGACCTGCTGAGACAGAGTTGGAGTTTAGAAGCCAGTGTTTAGCAAAATAATTAAAAACAAATGAACAAGCTTCTCTTCTAGCAAGTTTGACTTGACCATGAAAGAAGCAGAAATAGGATTATGGAGAAGAGCTCCTATTTCTTTAAAATCTCCTGTTGGTACTGAGCACTATGCTAGGCACACTGTATTGCCAAATAGGTGACTGATGTATTCTTTGCAGCTGGACACTGACAATACATACCAAGGATGGCAGAAACCTCAGTCCTCTTAGCATTCTTTACTATACTAAACGCTCAAAATTGCCTAGCACAAACTCAGGATCACATCACTCAACAGAATGAAATCAGATGCCTCTCCCAACATGACAAAGATATGTTTCTTTAAATGACAACTGTAGGATTGCCCCCAAGGACATGTAAGCCATGTGAACACTCTGAGCACAGAGCTCACAGAGCTCACAGCTGTTTGGTTCAACAGTCAACAGTGGACAACTGGTAAGAATCCAAACAATTTTTTTATTGTTTAAGTCTTAGGTGCTCTTGTTTTTCTAACAGCTCCCCTGCTAATAATGCAAATTTGATCTCTCAAAATATGGATTTTTCAGTCAAGATCTTGCATATGTTAACAAAGACTTGCATTTGATTCCACTCAAAACAGTGAAATATAATTAAAATGAAAATCTCCTAACATTGTACTACCTTTTTAAAGGTTATTTTCTAAAATAGTTAAAACATTTAAAGTCCATCTCTCTTTCATGGCCCCTCTAGGTTCTGCCTTGGCCTTCACAAGACACCCGCAGTGACTCATCACCTAATTCATGTACCCTTCTTCTGGGTTCCTGAGGAACGCTGGTGATAATGATGAAGCAAAGAATTAACTCTTCCTAATTCCCTCAGTTAGTGTGTTTTCCTTTTTTCCTTTTTTCCTGTTTTGGGGCTTTTGTTTCTTGCTTTTTAGCTTAGGAAATTCTATTTTTACAAGAAATCTTTTGTGGATGCTCACTATATTAAACTGAAAAAAGCAGTTGTTGGAATTGGAGACAGGAAGAGAGGTGGGAGAGAAACATTTACCCTCCCTTATTCCCTAAATTTTGCTGGACACAGAATAAAACAACTGACCTTGAAGATTTCTGAGAGAACTTAGAATTTGATTCATGATCTTCCAGAGATAGGAGCCTAAAAACACTGGGACCAATCTCCTGGGTATGAATGACAGAACAGTCTATTTGACCCCTTCACTCATTCATTCTGTGCGCAATTATTCACTGAGCATTTATGAGGTACCAGGCACTGTTTGAGGCACCACAGATTTGGCAGTAAACAAAAGACACTTATTTTCTGCTTTCATGGAGCCTACATGATGGTAGGGGAAGACACTGAATAAAGATGTAAACAAAAAAATACATGTTTGATGCTCTGAGAAAATGGATATAAAGAAAATAGGATAAGGGAACAGTAAAAGGTCATATATGTGTGCACAACTGTGTGTGTGTGTGTGTGTGTGTGTGTGTGTGTGTGTATGCGTGCTCTTTTACATGGTAGATCAGGAAAGGCCTCCCTTGTGAGGGTGCCCTTTAATCAGGGAATCAATAAAGTGAGATTATCTGGGACTAAGAGTTGTTTAGATGGAAGAAAGACTAAGTGAAAAGCAGTGAGGCAACCAAGTGCCCAGCGTGTTTGAAGAAGGGCAAGAAGGCCAGGGTGTCAGGAACCAAGTGATGAGGAGAGAGAGCAATGGAAGATGAGGTCAAGAAGACATCAGCTCCTCCGGGGAAAAGGCCAGATCACCCTTGACTTTGCTCTGCAGGGACCAGCTTCAGAGTTATAGAGAAGCTATTTAGTAAATATGTTGGAAAGAATCAGAAAGTCCCTTGTTTTAGTAAAAAGAATGCATTTAGGAGCATATCTCACTTCTTAGTTCTTCCTTTAGAAAGGCTGAGGTGGCAAATTTTCTAAGGTGTTTGTCTAACTAGAGTTCAGAACACCTCACCTCCCTCCCCAGGGACCCCTTCCTCGGTAACAAAGCACTCCCAGTGTTTTCAGGGCTGTATCTCTCACCACATCCCCAAAGTCAGTTTCTGGTATTCTTACTGTTCAGATTACATAGTATGGCATGTTCCAAGGAAAATGACGATTGGTGAAGGATGAACCACTGTTAACAGATTAGATGCCCAAGCGCATGAAAACTTTGTTTTCAGTCAGAAAAGAAATTGTTGCAAAATCAATGGTCTTGCTGGATAGCCCTGAGCTTCACTGAGCTTCACAGCACCTCTGTCCAGTGTAGTTTTGGTCAACGATGTCACTCACTCAGCCACTTACTGCTGTGTTAAGCACAATTCCCAAGCCAAACTTGTATTATGAGGTGAAAATTGGTTGACTCTTCTATTTGTATTTCTGGGAACAGGCTATTTTTAGCATAATTTCTTCGGTGGAACAATTTCCAAATGAGGTAGTTTTTATGGCAGGCTTTATAAAATAAAATCTTACCAAATAGGCCTATGTCTTGTGTGCCTTTTTTTAAAGACAGCCACAGTCCCCATCGTTCCCTCTCTTGGCACCCACCAGTTGCCAAGAAACAACTGATTCCTGGTTTTCTGATCCCCGTTGCAATTTGTGACTAAGTTAACAACAACAAAAAAAGCCGTTCTATTTGCAGCTCTAAATATGTATCAAGATTGTCAGACTGTTCAAGAAAAAAAAATGCAATGTTGACTTCTTAAATTTTTTCTTAAAGGGGCATTTCATCTTTGTTATAATGAGGTTAATTCCAGACACACACGAAAAAAGGTCCTAAATCTGTGCAGCACGATAGTGCAGTAGCTTGGACTATTGACTGCAAGTGAAACAAGGAAAAGCAGGATATTTTGTAGTCTGTTATGGGTAGAGGTAGGACATTGCATTTAAATTGCCTGACATTAGAACTCAAAAAGAACAGGAACTTTCGTTGTCAAGGAGTTTGTGTAGTTTGCTCCCTCTTTAGCATTCTTTGTGCTCTGATATATTGCAGCACTGGGTAAGCCTTTTTCTCTCACAGGGGGTACTCCAATGATCCTGTGGAGAGGGAAACTCAACAATCTTAACCTTACCATTTATGTAGCTGGGTTTATGAAAAGATAGTTCATAATGAGTTCACTGCCAATAGCTCACAATGAAGCAATGAAGGTCCTTCCAAACTCCTTGATCACCATGAGATTGAGCTACCACCCACCTGCGCCAGGTATGCTCTCCCCCACCTTTCCTCAAATCAAACACTTGGAATAGAGTGACCAGCCATCTAGGATGGCTCAGGACTGAGGGGCTGACTGAGACACTGGACTTGGAGTGAGTGCTAAAACTGTAAGGATAAAGATAAAATATGTAAAAGCACAAGGTAAGCACAAAATAAATACCTAATAGCTTGCAATTTATGTGGTTCCTTTAATCCTTATGCATTTACATTGCTGTGCTGGTTTTCATTTTTTAAATTCATTTATTATGCATTTCTGGCTTTTTACCCTCTTTAAAAATTCTACCTTAACTATAAAGTCAAGTGATTACAAATGAATAAAACTTTTAAAACATTTAATGAACAGCATTTACACATTCAAACACACACTCAGAGAAATTATGGGATCTTATAATTGCCAAGGGCTGGAGAAGTCATCTGAATCAAAGTCCTATTGCAGGAATCCTTTATTTCATCTTTCCCTCTTGAAGGTTGCTTTAAAAAGCACCTGCTTCTTCACCTCTTAGCTAGAAAATGGTGGGAGAAGAGAAGTCTTTCTGAAAAGAAGAACTGGAATAGAAGAGAAGCCACAAGTGCACCTGGAGTATCAGCACCTCTTTCTACAATGAACCATTGTACCAGGTGACCTTCAGGTGTACATAGGCAGCATAAAGCAATCTTCTTTTCTCTGAACTTTGGAAAATTGGGGAGACTGATTTGCACCACCCTTTTATAGTCAATGAAATACCCAAGAGAACAATGATTTCTGGGAAATTGTTTCCCCAGGAGATCAATCTCCTTCAAGATAATGATAATGATGGATGCTGAATTTCTTCTGAAGTTCCTCTGTGTTGTTACTAAGTCATTCAGTCTACAGTTGCAGTCTAGCCCTTACTCTGACTATATCCTTCTTAAATCTCTGAAACCTTCTGTGATGTCCACTGAACTCTCCCTATTCTTTTGATCCTGGACAATCTCTTCAATTGCCTTCTTGAGGTCTTCAAAGATGCCACTTCCTGCTATATAATGAGGATGCTCAAAGCAGCATTCTATCCAGCATCAAAAGCTTCAGGAAATCCTCAATTCAGGCCCAGTGTTAAATGCATTTCAGTGATAGTGTTATTAAGACCTAAAAGAATCTCTGATTCTTTTCCAATTTTATATTATTCAATGAGTTAATGGAACAAGTCCAATATTTTTCTTTGTCCTGCTTCAATTTGTTTTATTACTTTTAATTTCACAGTAAAAGTAAGATTTTGCTCTACATATTTATATGTTTCACATTGAGAGCTGTTGTAATGCACAGTACAGAAAGAATTTAAATCAGATATATAACAATAACTGAAGCACCTACTCTGAGATTCTAAGATTCTAACATTCTAACATAATCTTGGCCACTTCTAGTGACAAGGTCCATATGGAATAAATATAAACTCATCACCATTTCTAGGCCTTCCCATTTACTCACAACTCAGCAATAGTAGTGGTTAGCTATGAATTTCTCTTCCAATGACACAGCATACATCTAGTTTGAGAAAAAAAAAGTTTCCTGGGTTAAACTGAAAAGTGTTCCTATGTAAAATTTTTAAATACACATAAATATCTTTGAAAATAAAAAATTCATAGATCAGGCATTTGTAAGCCAAGCAATGAATTCAGACAGCATCTAAATCTATAGTAGTGCGTGAAATCACTCTGAGAGTATGCGCAAAGGAGAACAAAGGGTACTCAGAACCTGGACTTTAGCAATGCCATATTTAGAAGTTGGCTAGAGAAGTTGGAACCAGCAAAAAAGACTCAGAAGGAGTTGCCTGTTAAGTAGGAAGAAACTATCTCATTATAGTTTCTATTAAGGTCACATTTCTGGATGAGATGAGTAACATACAAGATGTGTGATAGTGGTTCACATTATAATGAGAAATACAACTGCGATGTAAATAAAAGGGGAAATACTTCCGGAGAGACAGAACACTGAACCAAGGAACAGAAGTCTAGACTTAAATTCCCACTTTTTTGACTCTCATTAGATATGACATCAGCAGGAGACATGACTTTGCCCTGAGCCTCAGTCAACTCTTCTGCAAAAGGAGAAATGATAATATCTATCTTCAATGGGCTGTTGTGAGAATCTATTGAGTTAATTAACTCAAATATACATCATAAATGGAAAAACATTGCACAAACATAAGGCACTTGTGTTGGCTCTCTGCCTAGAACTCGCATTCTACTATAAGGAGCCACTCTACCCACTTTTCTCTTGCCAGTCGTCTACCTGAATTCTGACCTCCCTGATACCTGCTTTCTGTGATCTTGTTGCCTGACAGCTGGGGCCTTAGGGCCAATTGCCCACTGCCAGAGCTTTATACCGTCCCAGTTGCTGGTCTCTTGCCAAATCACCAACCCCATTCCTGACTATCTTTATGGCCCACCCACCATCCATGAGCCCAAGTTATGATAAGCTCCAAAGTGTTTCAGAGCCAATCCCAGAGCTAACTACAGAGATTCAAACTATATACTTATTTGCAATATGTATTAGTTTGTTCAGTCACAGAGATTTCTTCAAATTCTTGAGACCAAAGTACTTTGTGTCTTAAAGGATGATATCCACAGCAAAATATATATACATATTAATTCAGCAACTTCTTCACCTTGAGTTCTTGATTTACATAAATAATAAAGGCTTTTGTTCACTTAAATAGTCTTTAAAATTGTTTATAGCTATACTGACAGTATCTGGATTGTGTCTGAAAGTCTTCTCTAATCTGGTAAGATATCCATGCCATTTATTTGAAAATTCTTTGATCAAGCTGTTTTCATTGAAAGTAAGTATGGTTTTAAAATTACCAAAAGATCTATACAATATTAAATTGCTACTGCCTTTATTGATTTCTTGGGAAAAAAATTCAGCCAACCCCTTGTTGAGCTGGGTCTAAAACCAATCTATTATTGGATTCACTGATATTTTAATTATGATTTAATTAATTAAAAATTAAGAATGTAACATGCTATTATTAAAATATTTTCTTCTTTAATAATTAATAATTTTCTCTAAATACAATATTGTAATCCATTCAACCAATCATTTTGAAAATAACAAAAATAACAATTGAGTCTTTTTACTTTGATCTTTGAGATCTGGGAAGGGGGCTGAGGAAGGAAAGGGAGGAAAGGTACTTGTGAACATCAAATGATAACCGACAGTTTTTAAAACGCCAGCAAAGACTTTGTGCTTCACCAAGCTCTACTTAAGCATGGATAGAAAATGCAGTTACCCATGACAGGGTATTACAATAATGTCATAGAAGCAATTTTTGTCTCCATAATGTAAAGCTACATGTCCAGCTAAAATAACTCCAGGTCTTTTATATTTTACAATGGACTAATAACTTTTATTGCTATTCTTAAGAGATGTCAGTTTCTACTTTTTAAGAAATTTAATTACATTTGCTCTTCTCCAATCATCGATCCTTTTTTCCCCCCATCCCTAGATCACAAAGACAAATGTAAGTGAACCTAAAATGACTCTTTCTGAATTCTTAAGCAGAATACAAACTGTTCTAACTTTCTTACATGACATGCCAGTTTACTATAGTTACCTACTTTAAGGAAATACGCCTGGCTCCACTGGCGGTGGGCATGATTGGTGGTGGAACTCAGACGTGGGTGAATCTTCAGTATTTATTGTTATTGGTTATATGCTCCCAAAGCATTCTATACCTTTCTTTCCAAATATTTACCAGTTCATAATTATATGTATACATGATAATATTGTTACTCTCTTTCTCCCCAACATGACAGTAATACTCATGAAAACAAGGGTAACATCAATTTTTCCCACCAATGTATATTCCAGCAACCAGTTCAGTTGGTACAAAGAATGTAGTAAGTGTGCAAAACATTTTTATGGGGAAAAAAGGAATAGAAAGTAATCGAGCTAGCATTATTTTCAGACTACTTAGGAATGGATCAGTACCAGTCACTTGGTATGTATCACTCAGTGAAATTCTATAAAAGTTATTTTTGAAAAATTAATTTATAACACCCCATTTCTAGCATGTCCCACTTTCCCTTTTTTTACAATGGACTAATAACTTTTATTGCTATTCTTAAGAGATGTCAGTTTCTACTTTTTAAGAAATTTAATTACATTTGCTCTTCTCCAATCATCGATCCTTTTTTCCCCCCATCCCTAGATCACAAAGACAAATGTAAGTGAACCTAAAATGACTCTTTCTGAATTCTTAAGCAGAATACAAACTGTTCTAACTTTCTTACATGACATGCCAGTTTACTATAGTTACCTACTTTAAGGAAATACGCCTGGCTCCACTGGCGGTGGGCATGATTGGTGGTGGAACTCAGACGTGGGTGAATCTTCAGTATTTATTGTTATTGGTTATATGCTCCCAAAGCATTCTATACCTTTCTTTCCAAATATTTACCAGTTCATAATTATATGTATACATGATAATATTGTTACTCTCTTTCTCCCCAACATGACAGTAATACTCATGAAAACAAGGGTAACATCAATTTTTCCCACCAATGTATATTCCAGCAACCAGTTCAGTGGGTACAAAGAATGTAGTAAGTGTGCAAAACATTTTTATGGGGAAAAAAGGAATAGAAAGTAATCGAGCTAGCATTATTTTCAGACTACTTAGGAATGGATCAGTACCAGTCACTTGGTATGTATCACTCAGTGAAATTCTATAAAAGTTATTTTTGAAAAATTAATTTATAACACCCCATTTCTAGCATGTCCCACTTTCCCTTTTATCTATTTTACAGAGGCTGGTTCCAACCTTCTCTGATGACCACAGAGTGGCAACCATTTTGCATAATATATTAAGAGCACTGTTTCATAGATTTTGAATTCTATAATTTGTCTTCAGAGTCCAACTGAAAATTTTGAACACCAAAAAAGAGAAAAAGAAAAGCTCCTTAGAATCATATCCTCTTATCTGTTATAGCAGTATTATGAGAACATTTGCCTTTTTTTTAACCTTTTCCCTCCACATGGTGTGAGGATCTGAAAAAGAGGCCTCCTGAAGGCATGCTAGGGGTAAGTCAATGTTCTAAAACTCAAGCATGCATCAGAATCACAGTGAAGACTTGTTAAAACACAGATCGTTGGACCAACCCCCAGATTTGTGATTCCACAGGTCTGGTGTGGGAGCCTTAGAATTTGTATTTCTAATAAGTTCCCAAGATGCTGCCACATCTGGTCTGGGAACCACACTTTGAGAATAACTAAGGCAGTTGCTGGAAGAGAACCTTGTTAAAACTAGGTTCAACACCAACTGTATTCTTGGTTAAAATAGTCCCAGAGAACATTATAAATTGTTGGTAGAGAAGACAAATTATCAGAGGTGCTACATAACATATATAATGCAATACATTATTAAATCATCAGCTTGACTTATTACTCTTATTTTTATTATAAGTATACCTCTCCAGGAATTATCCCAGTTCACTTTTTAATAACTAAAATTCTAGGGAAGGGGAATCTCTGAGTTATCTTTGGGCTTGGTAGAACTCACCTCCATTTGCTTCTCTGTCCTTCAGCCCCTCCAGCAAGTCACTAAGCCTCTTTCATCATACTCTTCTACCTGTAAAAATGGATGTAATAGTACCTATATCAGTGAATTACTGTGAGGATTAAATGAGATCCTAAATGCAAACTATTTAGCATGAAATTGGCTTGTAAATGGTAGCTGCTATGTTTTTACTAATTTATCTACTCATTCAAGGAAATGAATTCCAATGGTCCTGGGACCAGTGACTGAAACTACTTATATCTCCAACACATTCATTGAACACAGCAATAATCCTAAATCGGAAAGAGAATGCAGCTATATTCTAGGTATTCTGCTCACTGTATGTCTTGCCAATGGGTTTCAGCCCCGGGCAAGTTTGCTATGGATTCAGTGTGATCAAAGAAACTGACAGCAAAACATTCTTCGGGGTGAAAGGGTTATACCCAACTTTATTCTCACAGTGGCAGGTCAGTCACTAGAATCCCATTCACTCAGAGCGAGTCTGTATGCAGCAAACCAGTCTCTGCTTCTGCGCCCCTCTGTCTGCACAGCTGTCCTCTGGGCCTCTCTGCACAGTCCCGTTGAACTTTTTCTCCTGCAATGTCTCTCTCCTCTTTCCAGATCTCTGCCTCAGGTCTAGCTTGTTTGTCCCTTAACTCCATTTCTTGAGCAGAACATTTGGTGCTTTCCCAGTTCACTACGCTTTGCTGGAATAGTGAATTTCCAGGGATTTTACAGGCTGGCCAAAACAGTTTGTTCAGAACAGTGACGCCGAGGCCGAGGCCTGGCAGCCAGTCGACCGAGCGTTTCCTGACTCTGCACAGCCACCCTTGACCTTGGGGAGGGAGCGAGCGCCACCTGCACCGCTCCTTCCCGGAGGCGTCGGGGCAATTCTCAGGCCGGACTTCAGAACGGAAAGGTGGGAGAGAAAAGGGCAAGGGAGGCTTCAAAATAAGGCGAGAAGACCCATAAGGTATAAAGCAATTATTTTTCTTTTCCCAAGGCGAATCCTTCTAACTATTCAGGGGTGAGAGGGCTGGGGGTTGGGGTGTACGGAGGAAAGGGAAATGTCTGCCTAGGGCTCGAGACAAAGTGTGAGAACTCCGATGGCCAGAAGCGAGCTTGAGTGAGAAAATCGGAAGGAGGGAGGCTGAGGGCGGACAATCGGGTTAAAAATAGAAACAAATCCTCCACTGCACATGCTCTTTCCAGCTCCACCCTGGGGCGGGTCGCCGAGCCTCTGGGGCTCCGGGCAACAGGAGCTGGATTAAGGCTCAGCCCCGCCTCCTGGCCCGGTGACTGGGCGGGGGGCGGGACGTCGGCGCGTCACGTCACCGCGCGCCCCGCCGGCGCCGGCGTCGGGGTTTTCGCTGACGCACAGACCCCGCCCCTTCTCTCCCTCTCTCCTTCTTCGCCTGAGCGCCGGGCGGAGAGAGCGTCAGTTGGCCGGATCGCGGACTTGGCTACGTCTTCTGTTGGGGCTCTCTCGCTGTTGGGAGCCGCGGAGCTTCCCCGGCGGTAGCCGAGGAGACAGAGGGCGCCATCAGTGGGCCTTCACGGCGCCCAGGCCTCCCTGCGCGCCCCCCTTTCGCCTTCGGAGTCGTCCCAACCTGCCGCCGGTGGAGGCGTGAGGTGACGGGCGAGCGCCGGGAGCAGCGTTAGCCGCCGCGGCCTCCGGTCCTCCTTCCACCTCCTCCGCCCCTCCTCACTTCCCTCCTCCCACTTCCCAAGCTCCGGCGTGTCCCGGCCACGCTCGGTGCTGCGTCAGGAACAAAGGAGGACCCCGCGGCGGCGCAGAGACCCCTCCGCCTGCGGCTCCGACCTGCTCCCGGCCCGCGGCGGCGGCG